GTTACTTACTGTTAATAGAATGTCTAAAGTGGACTATCGAAATAAAGTGTTACCATATATATATATATATATATATATATATATATATGAGATTTTGTGAGATTCAACATATAATGATGTTGAATAATGTTATTTGAAGTTTTAAGTGAATGTTATATTCTTTTATAATGTTTGTTTTCTTTTTATTTTATTTTTTATTATACTAGCATTTCCATTTTATTTTATTGTGATATATAATGCATCTGTATCTGTAGTAGATTTACATTTATCCAAACGTACTTATTTTATTCAAGTTATTCATTTTTTCAATTCAAGCATTCCCTGGGAGTCAAGCCCATGACGTTGGTTTGGCTAGTAGCAGGCTCTACTGTTCGAAGACATAATGCAGTGTCATTTAAAATCTACTTTTGAATAGGAAAATAATATCCATGATCATAATACAGCTTTACCTATAAAAATAAATACGTTTTTAATTTGTATTATCATGGTATAGTTTGTGCTGTACTGTCTTTATGCTGATTTTTTATTATTTTATTTATCAGAACAAGGTACATTGAAAATATTCAGTGACAAAAACGCTTTCAAAGGCATTCATTTTTCACTTTTTCTTCCCACAAGTTCCCATCTCAAGATGAACCTCCCATAAGCCAGAAAAAAAACACATAACATTTATGTCACAACAGCATTGAAATGCAAACAGAACAAAATAATAATAATAAAAAATTAAAATAAAGGGTGAGGAGTACATTCTCCTCACTATAGTTTATTAAGAGCTCCCATGTTTTGTAAAATGTTCTGGTTGATTCCTTGAGAAAATATTAGGTTTTTTTTTTTTTACAGTATTTGTATGCATTTCCATTGTATTTTATTGTGATATACCATTAACGAATATACTATAGTAATATTTTGAATTAGTTTTTGTTTTTATTTTTTTTATTTTTTTTCATTTTATTTTAGTTAACGTTTTAGTAATGTTGTTGTGTTTTTGTCATTTTTATTAGTTCTTGTTCTTTTCAAATATGTCTGATTTATAGTTTTTATTTCAGTTTTATTAGTTTTTGTTTTTATATATTTTTTTCATTTCATTTTAATTTTAAAGTTTTAGTAATTTTGTTGTGTTTTGTCATTTTTATTAGTTCTTGTTCTTTTTAAATATGTCTGATTTATAGTTTTTATTTCAGTTTTAGTGTTAGTTATTTTAGTACTTCAAAAGCAAAAATGAGAACTGTTGTCTTGGCAAATATAGCTGAAATAAAATAGGATTTTTAATATTTTATTTCAATTATTTCAAGTAATGGTTTCTTAATTTTTTCCGTATATATATAAATATATATATACAGTATACTATTTATTGTTAACAATAATATCACTGATCAAGAAATGGTGTTGACTGTCATGAGAATATTTTATTATTATATGTAGTAGATTTACATTTATCCAAACGTACTTATTTTATTCAAGTTATTCATTTTTTCAATTCAAGCATTCCCTGGGAGTCAAGCCCATGACGTTGGTTTGGCTAGTAGCAGGCTCTACTGTTCGAAGACATAATGCAGTGTCATTTAAAATCTACTTTTGAATAGGAAAACCTTCAAAAAGCCAAAACGATGGTCAAATGCTTTACTTTGGTCAATAAGCCATTTTTGAATGAATTCAAGCATCATCTCACCATAGCTCATCTTCATGGTTTATGAATATCACCTTAGAGCTTCTTCCTGTCGTGAGGTGTGGCATTCATTTCATGTTATGTTTGTAAACAGCTCTTTCCTTGTTTGACTGAAGTGTGATTTTATGCTCTAAACTGAAAGCACTTCTTTTGTGAAATGAAGTCAGTAAAGAAGGAAGCGTGTTGTTTTCTTTGGGAGTTTCTCTGGAATGTTCTGTGACTCCCTTCAGATGATCATCAGTATCTGAAGAGCGATGTGTGCAGATCATGGCCTATAAACAACAAGCTGGGTTGGTTACCTCAATCTAATTAGCTGGCATGAACTGAGACTTTTGCCTGAATTATGGCAATGTTCAAAAATCATTTTTAAAATAAATGACCAAACTTTAAAAAAAATGCTCAAAATGATGAGTTTTTATCCAAAGCAACTTACATTTTATCAGTCATACATTCCCTTCATGTATTCTAATCACAGCTTGACTGGGAAAATATATATACATATATATTTTATAGAAATAATAATAATTTTAAAAAAAAGCCCAGCTGTATTTACTTAAACGCCACTTTCAGTAATGTCACGTACAGCAATATAAAATTATGCTTTTGTCTCGTAATAAGATGTAAACATGTACATCAAGTAGAAAGAAACGGTATAAATGACAGAACATTATAAAAATATACAAATACAGTCATCACATCTCACAGGAATACTGTAACAGCAGAAACACAGAATCAATCCAGTGGAAAAACAACAGTGGATTTTAACCAGAGTCCAGTGTTAAACATCAAATAATGACCGTGTTTATACAGAAAAACATGTAGAAATATTCTTTACACTTTTTCAGCGATGTTCATTATGTATCTATTACTTCATTTGATCAACTTAAGCGTGCCTCGTCTGTGAAATCAATCCAGTGTAGAACAGAATTTGTCACAAAACATTTGATAAAAACCTTGCTATGGATTCTGGAATTCTGAAAATGGATTCTGAAAACATAAAAGTCTTGACTTTTTGGGTATATTAGCAAGGCACACATATAGCCCAAAACATGCCTCTATTTAAAAGGCCTTTTTGACATACAAAACACTATGGGGACAGTAATATGCCGACTTTGTGTTTGAAATATCTCTCTCTTTTTCTTTACACTCAGTAATAAAATATCTTATTTTCAAGGATATCGCACTCCTATAAATGTTGGCATCCTTTTCATGACACATGAGGGGGGAAAATGTTCATAATGGTCACAATTACGTATCTTAACAGTGTATTTACATCTTTATCCACATGCTAAAGTACCATTACTTAAAGGGGTCATATAATGCGATTTCAATTTTTCCTTTCTCTTTGGAGTGTTACAAGCTCTTGGTGCATAAAGAAGATCTGTAAAGTTGCAAAGACTAAAGTCTCAAATCCAAAGAGATATTCTTTATAAAAGTT